ACAAAAATACTTCCTAAAAAAAAACGAAAAAAATCCTGAAAAAAATGGCCCTCCCTTAAAAAAAAACAACCAAAGAAAAAAACACAACAAACAAAAAAAGCGCTACATGAAGCCTTGAGTCTGCCGAATACCCTCTGAAGGCGCTAGGAGCCTCAGGGATGCTCGCCCAAAATCCGCAGGCGACGGGACCATCGGGGAATGGGGGGGGGGGGGGGGGGCTTCAACGTTTGGGGGAGCCAAAACAACACGCGGCCCCATGGGCATCACCCAAAGTCGCCCTGCGGATCTCCAATTTCCGGCAAATATGGGCTCCCTAAGGTGAGGCTAGGCGGCAGGTTCACGGCCGCGAAAGAAACCCGCTGAAATGGAGCGTCATCGTGAATTTCTTGGCGAGAAATCGCAGGAGGCGCGTTTTCCACTGCGGAGGGCTCGTCCTACTTTGCAATCTGATTCAAGGCTTTTCAAAGCCCAGCCATGTGCTTTTTCAGAGGAACCGAAGGAGTCTGAAAGGAAGCTCTTTTCCCCAAGCTGAGACTCGTCTTGGAGAAGCAAAGGAAACCCCTAAATCCATCCCATCCCGAGTGAAGCAACCAGTCCCTGTCAGCCTTCAAGTGCTCATCCCAGCTGACCAAAAAAAAATTACACAAGCATAGACCCCAGATAGCACAAGACGGCTACGACCCATGACGCAGCATCATAATGGTTCCATCGGCTTCATGATGATGCTGACAGCATCATGATGATGTTGACGGCATCATGATGATGCCACAGCCACTCAGCATGGTGCGCTAAATAGACGCGCGCAGACAACGTCCTAGTGAGTTCAGCAGCATAATGGTGATGTTGACAGCCTCACACTGATGCTCCAGCCACGAACGATTCCGCGCTACATATCTAGCAGACAAAAGGCAGAGACGACGTCCTGATGAGTGCGACAGCATGATGATGATGATGATGATGATGATGATGATGATGATGATGATGATGATGATGCGGGCAGCATCACCATGATGCGGATAGCATCATGGTGGTGCTAACAGCATCATGGTGATGGCAAAGGCAGCATCATGATGAGACCACGGCCACGAATCATTCAGCATCATCCTGATGTTGACAGCATCATGGCGCCACCACACCCGCGAACCATAATGCAGCATCGCAGTTACAGCAGCATCATGACGTGGTTGACAACATCATGATGATACACCAGCCACGAACCACGAACCATTACTCACGACATTTAGAGCAGCAACAACGTCCGAATCGGTTCAACAGCATCATGGTGCTGCGGACAGCATCATGATGATGCCACAACCACGATACCCTGCCGTCCATATGCGCCCGCACCATCACCAACACCTCAAGACAGCAGCCCCAACAGCACCCCAACTGAGCACCAGCGCCAGTACCCCAAAGTGCATGCCCTAGCTCCCAGCCGTCGATCTCACAAAACGATTCCCCTTCTTCATTACAAGTTAGAATGGCTTTCAGTTGTCTGGAAAGTTGGTCAGCAGCACCACCCCAAACTGCATACCCCCTAGCACCCGCCGGCAATCTCGCACAACTGCGCCCACAACGTCACCAGAACCGCAAACAGCACCCCAAACAGTACCCCAAAACAGCACCTGCATCAGCACATGCGCATGCACCACCAGCACCTCAATCAAACAGCAAACTACATTCACCAGGACTACATGCCCCCTAGCACTCGGCCGTCCAGCACCCCAAACTGCATGCCCCCTGGCACCACGGCACCTCCACCAGCACCCAAAACTACATGCCCCCTAGCACTCGGCTGTCAATCTTGTAAAGCGGCACACCTCCACCAGCACCCCAAACTGCATGCCCCCTAGCACCCAGCCGTCAAGCTCGCAAAACAGCACCTCCACCAGCACCCCAAACTGCATGCCCCCTAGCACCCAGCCGTCAAGCTCGCAAAACAGCACCTCCGCGTAGCCGGTGTTAAGGACATGATTAATAACTGCCTTAACAAGGGTAGGAACTTCAGCAGCAGGGACAACCCCACCAGCACCCCAAACTGCATGCCCCCTAGCACCCAGCCGGCAAGCTCGCAAAACAGCACCTCCACCAGCACCCCAAACTGCATGCCCCCTAGCACCCATCCGTCAAGCTCGCAAAACAGCACCTCCACCAGCACCCCAAACTGCATACCCCCTAGCACCCAGCCGTCAAGCTCGCAAAACAGCACCTCCACCAGCACCCCAAACTGCATACCCCCTAGCACCCAGCCGTCAAGCTCGCAAAACAGCACCTCCACCAGCACCCCAAACTGCATACCGCCTAGCACCCAGCCCTCAATCTCGCAAATCACTTTCTCTTCTTCATTAGAAGTTAGAACCCCTATAGCTTTCAGCTATCTGGGGAAAAAACCCTCTGCAAATGGAAAAGGGCGTCTCGAAAATTATGTAAGCTACAGGAAAAGTCAGAAGGAAGCCACCCTTTCTTGAGGCTACGTACCATTTCTCAGGACACACCTGGTAAAGAGGTGTGTCGGTTCTTCCGTGCGGAAAATGATCCGAAGCATTGGAATGCATCCTCAAAATACGGGGAGCCGGGAACCCACGCACAGAGGATTCCACGCCCCGGCCTGCTTTAAAACGAGATCTTCCATATCGGCTGGCAACCCTGACACACCCCTCAGCAATCCATCGCTTTGGCGAGTCTCGGCCCAAAGACCGCTGGTCAACCTCAAATTGCAAAATCAACACCTGAGACGACCGAGCGCGAAAACCTCCGACGGCCCGAGGCGCTGCAAGATCTCCTTGCGCAGCGCGGCGTTCTGGGATTGGAGGTTCTCGAAGAGATGAGACACCTCATCAAGACCTTGGGCCAGGGATAACCCCCAGTATCTGGGGGGTGGTTTGGAGGTGTCCATGGTTTTGGGAATGAATCGGAAAGGGATTCCCGTAGATAAAACTGCCAAGGGATGGTTCAATGTAAGGGGATAAGTAATCAAAGACATCACCGTCTCGTTTTTTGACGTGATTTGGTTTGAACCACCCCCTCAAACCCATTATACCCGTTTGGGCCACACCCATGTCCTGCCGGAGCGATGTTGCAGCCGTCAGCCATCCCCACTGACAAATGACCCGAAACCACGCCTGGGAGCCCACTGACTCAGACAAATAAAACTTAGTTTCATTTTGACCCTCGCCCAAATAGCCGGAGCCACCACATCGCCGGCCAGGACACACCTCTGCAGCTCAGACATCGCCATGAGCCGCCGAGCCGCCTAGCCGCCTCCGTGGCAGCTTCCCCCTAACGTCCGGGAAGAGGGCTACACAAATCCACGAAAGATCGGAGCTGGGTTCACTGGATCTTGTTCCATGCAGCTAGTTTCAATGGGTCATGTCCCACCTGCGCAGATTGCAATCTCAAACTCGCAAACTGCGAAACACAAAAAACATGGACCCCGGAGGGGCCTGAATTCCTAAAATCGGATGCTCTTTTGGAGCCCCCCTTTGCAGGGACCCAAGTGGCACCCCTGCGTGCTTCGTGCGTGCTTGGCGCATGTCTCTCCCGTTTGCTTGAGCCCTGACTGCCAGGCGACCGCCCTTCCGAGCACACTTCATGTCATGGCCTGGAAAACAAACATGATATCCCATCTTGTGGTCCCCCAGAATATCCATCTTGTGGCCCCCTGCGGGTGTCGTCAATCTGTGACGAAGGCATCATGGTTCGCATCCCTTTGTGGTTCCATTTCAGTAGTGGCCATCCCCGGCCGAATACATGTTCACTGCTTGCTCCCGCAATCGAGACGGTAGGCTTGAGGTTTTGCTGTCTACTGGGGCGCGCGGGTCCCAAAAGTGTTCAAATAGACCCCCAAACAAAGGACCTTTCTCATGGTGAGCTCGTACCCCCAGGTGAGGCAGAAAGATTAACACCCCAGCCCGCCAAGAAGAAAGCCCAATTCAAGCGTCCCTCCGCCCAGACGACGTGCCCATGGAAAAAACAACGATGCCTTTGGGAAGGTAAGGTAAGCAGGTCTGCCCCTTGTTTAACCCCATCGGCACAAGGTGGAAAAGGCTGGCAAAAGGACGTACCAAGTTTCGACCACTCGCAATTCTCCACCGATTCGTCCAACTTGGAAGCGGCGTGGAATTCCTGGATCCCGCTGCTCTTTTGGTGTGGTGACATAACCATAACCCGCATCTGAGGTTCACCGAAACTGTGGCTCACTTCCAGGTTTAGTCTACGCGACAGAGAATCGATTTGGAGGAGACACCTGGATTTCCAACCGGAAAAGAGGTGATCAACCCGGTGGTGTCCTTTTTGATCGCCTTGAGGCTCCAAAAACCACAAATCGAGGAACTCCTGCTCAAAGGGCCCAGCCACATCTGCAATGGGCATTCCGGAACCTGCCCAAACACCAAAGCTGCCCCCAGGCCAACGATCTTGATGGCAAGCTCGTTCCAGGCCGAGCGGGCTGATTTGATATATGTTGACCCAGGATTACTAAACCCGTCCGATTTTAGGGGGGCGTTCCCTCCAAAAGTGGTCTGAATCCCCACTAAAAGGGGACACCCCCCTATTCATCAACCAGGGGTTTATTCATCCGGGGCTCACATTATTTGAGACGCACCTCCCCAGCTCCAGGCGCCCATGTTAGGCTTCCCCAGTTCCAGGGAAGTCGCGTAGGCTGGCCAAAGCCAGAGAAACCGCCGGCTTTTGACAAGAAGGAGGGTTGAAGCCAATTGGGGAATCAGCACCTAGATTGCTTTGCATGCCGCCCTAGTTGCCAGGGAATCTGATTTCTGACCCCCATGGTTGCAGGTACGTCCAGGCGCAAGCAGTTTTGGCCCTGGCTGGATGAAGCAACTTCTGGACGCTGGGATGCGGTTTCGTAGGTGTCCTTTCAGGGCAAACAGATTCGTTTCCCTGGTAGATGATGAAAAAGACCACCAGGTAAACCAGGAATCGATAAACCCCTCCATTTCTCGACCAAGACAAGCCAAAAAAAGTCGACACCTATGGGCGTCCTCCTGGGTCCGAAGCTCCAGGTGCACCCGCCGCGCCGAGGCCTTTGGAAGCTCCGAATCTTCGGAGTTGTGTTTGGTTGTTTTTTTGGTGTGTCTGGGGAAGTTCACGGGAAACCACCCACAAAATATATGTTTGGAAGTGCTTTTGTTGTTGCTTTTCGTCGGGTTGCTTTCGTGTTGTGTTGTGTTTGTGTTGTGTTGTCCTGTTTTGTGCTGCGTTGCCTTGTGCTTGTTTGGTGTTGTGTTGCTTTTGCTTTGATTTGTTGTCTCGCCTTTGTTAATTTGTGTTGTGTTGCCTTCTTTTGTTCTTGTGGTGTGTTGCTATTGCTTTGATTTGTTGTTTGTTGTTTTGTGTTGCGCTGCCTGGTTTTGTTTTTGTGTTGTGTTTTGTTGTTTTTGCTTTGTTTCGTTGTGTTGCCTTGTTTTGCTTTTGTGCTGTGATGATGTTGCTTTGTGCTGTTGTTTACTTGGTCAGGAGGGGGGTGAGCCCCACTGGTCTATTGTTGCAACCTTCCTTTTGAGGGTTAGGGATTGGATCTGCAAGCTGGGTGCTCCAAAAGGTCCATGGCAAGTCCAAACTCCTCTTGGAAACGCATGGTGTGTCTGACTGATATGACTGATATGACTGATATGACCTCCTTCCTCGGGAAGGGCCGATCTGCACTGAGTCACAGCTGGGCAACGTGGCGTCTCCAGCTGGCCCTGCTGTGGAGAACACGTGCAAGCGAGTTGCGCGTAGCGTCGCTTTGGCTCCGATGTTCTATCATGCAGCCCCTCAAACACAACTGGTGAAGTTATAACTTATAACCTGCAAAATTCGTGTCCGTCAAACGCCCCCCGCTTTATCAGTTTATACGTATCTGTCCCTGCATCCATCCAATAGGCGACACTTGCCGAGAGCTTAACAACAAACCGCTCCAGAGAGTACGACGGCAACCAGCGTCGGTCGATTTATTTTCACCGCACTGCCTCAAGTGGGTGGGATCGTACCTGTTGGTCGATCTGTTTCAATCTCTGGAGTCGGTGTGCGTGTCTCTCAGACACCACTGACTCGAAAGTAAAGTACAACAAAATAAAAGGTAAGCAAATGCAAGTGCATGCAAACCCAAAATGTTGTACAGCAGAGTTTCGAAGAGGGAGTGGACGTTCTCCCGTCCTCTCACTCGATGCTATAAATGCAGACCGACAGGTACTGAGGGCATGCAGTGAAAACTGGTGAGGGTGGGTGGGAAAGAAAAATTTGGCTAATTCGCCAAAATGGCGAACGGAGCATGAATCAAGCAGTGTCATCCTGCAGGCACTCAAGGTTCGAATCTGAGTGTGATTCAAATGCCTTCCGCTATCGGTTGTTACTTTTAACACAAGTGTTAACCGCAACAACAAACCGCTCCAGAGAGTACGACGGCAACCAGCGTCGGTCGATTTATTTTCACCGCACTGCCTCAAGTGGGTGGGATCGTACCTGTTGGTCGATCTGTTTCAATCTCTGGAGTCGGTGTGCGTGTCTCTCAGACACCACTGACTCGAAAGTAAAGTACAACAAAATAAAAGGTAAGCAAATGCAAGTGCATGCAAACCCAAAATGTTGTACAGCAGAGTTTCGAAGAGGGAGTGGACGTTCTCCCGTCGTAGGTCAACTCCCGTCGAAGGTGAAGCCGAAGGCGAACGACCTAGACAAAAGGCACGTTGAAGGCATCCTTACATCGATCAAGTCTCCTTACTGTGGACAAGATTCTCACGGGACGTGGAAGTCAAGTCGGGTTCAGGAGGAATGATTCCTGTGGAACTGTTGGAGTTCCTTTATGTCGTCAAATCCGACGGCATGGGCGAACTCAATATCGCCAATGATTTTGCACGTCCGTTTATGTAGAGCGTGCATGGGGGGTTCCAGAATCTGCCAGTGGTGCTTCGAGGCAAGGGACATGTCATGTCGACTGAAGGGGTCGGCTATATTAGCATGTGTGGGCACACGGGCAATATGCAACTGCAATTGCTGTCGGTTGTGCCATGTCCAATGTGCACCGAGCAGGCAGTTTAGTGGTTGGTGTTTCCCAACTCCCCGTCTGATGGCGTGTTTGGCCGCTTCGTTGTCGCACAACTGGAGGTATGTGTCAGTGATCCATGGTCGAAAGATCACAGGAGCGATCAACGCGGCCCATGCCTCGAGGAAATAAATGGCGTTGGTGCCAGTACTCACTTGTTGGAGTAAGTTAGGGGGTAGTGCGCCCGAGACCACGCGGGTCCTTTGTGCCTGTGGGCTGAACAGCACCGCTGCCCATCCGTTGTCGTGCGACCAATCGGGTGGCAGACAATCCTGATCCCCTGCGTCCTTGACACGCCAGACCGTCTCGCCCTGCCGGCAGAACGCGTCGGTGTATATGATTGAAAGGTCTCTGGGCCTGGTGGACAGTGGGACGCTGCGGGGTGAGCTATGTTGCAGGATATTCAGGAGGCACAGAATGGCAGCTCGAGTTGGTTTGTCGATCCGGTCGGAAGTGCTGTGTGCTTTGTGGTATAGGGCGGCTAACGCCGATCGCCCTACTCGACCGAACAGGTGTCCGGTGACAAAGTTGCACTTGCCGGCAGTGCGTCGGGCGGTGTCGTTCGACATACCTCCCTGTTCGAGACACTGAGACAGGGTGTGTGACAGTGTACGGACTCGGTCTGGGCACGGTCGAAGGGTTGCGTGTGTTGCCGACAGGTCGACATAAACCCCTTGTATTTTGTGAGAGGGCGCCGGTGGTTGTTCCTTGGATGTCTTCATATGAAATCCAAGTAGTGAGTTGAGCTTGCTGAATGAGGAGAAGGAACTGGTCGCGATGTGACTGGGTTGTATGGCCCCGTAGTCGTCAACGTAGTGCAGGGCAGGTGTGAGTGTTAGTACGCGGGCGAGTGCTGTGAGTGCATCGCCGAAGCGGTTGTAGCCCCAGACGCTGGCAGCGGAGCCGAACAGGAGCACGTGGTGGTGCCAGAGAGTTGGGCCGTCGGGTGTGATGAGTAGCACGTATGCTACCTCCGGTTGTGCGAGGGGCAGTTGACGGTAGGCGCCGTCGTGGTCGTGTCCCCACACATGTAGCGGGTGTGCGTCGTCGTGATATTGTCTCGCACATTGGATGTAGTGGTCGGGTGTGTGATGGTAGGGTTGATCGTGCATAGAGCACGTCTGGTTGTGGCCGCTGCGGCGCCAGTCTTCTCCTCTCCGGACTTTGGGTTTTCCGTCCGATCCGGTCTGTTGTATGCTGAATGCGACTGCCACAATGGGATCGCGATGTGGGATAGGAAGGAGCCGGCTGGTGTGGGGGAAAAGGTGCAGGGGTACTGTGCGAGAGGTCCAATGAGTCGGTGCCTCGAAGGGGCCGGCCATACGTCCCTGGGCCACTTCCCCCGCGATTTCGGTGGCCATAAGAGTCCAGTGGTCGTCGATCTTGTGTTGTTGTAATTTGCGCTGGATGTAGGCTTTGTTGAATGACCTGAGTTCTGCAAGGTCACATGGGTCCAGGTATTTGTGGTCGTGGCGAATGTGCCAATTGACTCCGGGTCGCAGAGGCCCCAGGAGGTCGAAGCCTAGAGAGAGTTCCTCGTGCAGGAGTTGTGCCTGTGGGTAGTTAAGCAAATGTAGCAAGTGTGTCATGAGTGGTACCTGAGTGATCATCTTCGGTTGTCGATAGGCTCGCTGGCAGTGTGGGGGCAGCTGTTCGAACCATGCAAGTGTATCTGTAGTCATCGCGAAGGTCCGCGATGTCGAGTAACACGTTGTGCTGTAGTTGTGGCAGTTGTGGTATGGTCCTTTGCATTGCGATGGCCCACAAAATGGTCGGGTCGCAGTGCTGGGGCTGTTGCAGCGAGGTAGCGTGGTGTTTGGCCCAGGTCAAGTGGTCCTGCCAGTCGTTCTGTGGCATATGTAGCGTTTCCGATGCTCTCGGAGGTGGTCCCCATGGTCGTGGGTTGTGAAGCCAGAGGTCGACCATCATTCCGAGGGATCCGCGACGTACCCGCTGCATGGGCGGGGGAATTCCGAAGGCTGGCTGTAGTAGCAAAAGGAATAGGATCCACATGGCTGTGGGCACATGCCAGGAGTTCCCCAGCATGGTGTTCCTGGTCCGGTCGGTGTTGTGTGGTCCCGTCCAGCCGCGCGGGAATCCCATCATTGCTTCGCGGTGCTCGGGTGTTGCGACTTGCCAGTCGTGTCCGTGTTTCCGGACCAGGTATTTCTGTTGGTATTGCCACGGGGCGAATTGTTTGTGGTCGGCTTGCCACCGTTGCCATGTGTCGTCTGGTAGTTGTTGGCTGCGTGGTGGTGGGCGGCCTTCGTCCGTACTGGCCTGGGTGGTAAGGCAGTGGAAGAGTTGTCCGTGTGTTAGGACACTCGGCGGGTCGAAGTCCCGGATGTGACAGTCTGGTTGTAGTTCGGCTGCAATGGGATTGAAGAGCACCGGTGGGAACAGCTGAGTGTCGAGGGAGAGTTGCCAAGGTGTATGCCTGCTCAATGTGGCAGGCAAGGATTCCCAATCGACCGAGGCCCACCAGATTCTGGGACGAGAGATGATTTGGCCGTCGGCCGCGTCGATCAGGACTGGGCGTAGGCCCATGGAGTGGGACAGCTGGTCGAAGTCGTCGCGTACCTCGGGGTGAGGCACGACATTCTCTAGCAGGGTGAGCGATTGATGTGGCCATCTGTTCTGAATGTCGTCGCGGATGGAGAGTGCGGTGTCGAAGAGGCTGCCCTGTGAGCCGGCCCGGCCCGGTTGGTGTTGTTTAATGTTGGAGTAGTCCTTGCACGGTGGGCCACCGGTGAAGAGGATAATGTGTCTCTCGTGATTGGGTATGTCCTGGATGATCGCAGCCAGTTGTTCGATGTCAAAATCTTCTACGGCGCCCATGTGCGTCGTGGGGAAGAGTGAATGAGGTAGCTGATTGCAGGACTGATCGGTTTCCCACCGGAAACAGTGGGAGACGTTGGCGCCCAGTTGGTGCAGGGCAAGTGACACTGTGCCGATCCCGTCGAAAACTGAGATCAGGATAATGGGCGTGTGTTGTATGAG